GAGCTCTGCCGGCGGAGCCGCTGCCTGCACTCTTTCGGTGGCCTGTTGGCTCTGACACGGCGCGTTTCGCTATGTCGTGAGGATGTTTCTGTACGCTTAGAAGCCGGAGCCTGAAATACTGCTCGTAACACTCGTTAAAGTTAACGGGAAGGGGGAAATCTACTGTATGTGGCTCCTTTTGCTGCTTTGCTGCACGTTTGGTGTAGGCGTTGTGGATTGTTGGGGGTTTTACCCACCTAGGTCTCTCTTGGTTGTGGAAGTGATGAAGTAGCAATGGTTTAGGGAACAAGTACTGAGATAGTAGGATTTTAAATTAAGAGTAATTGAAACATAGGTATTGAAAAATAAAGCCCTCATCTACTGTTTCTTGCTCCTTGAGCTAGCCATGTAAGTGTAATTAGAAGTCCTGAAATTCTTTGAAGGATATGAGTTTATCATCTTGATCCTTTTTTTTTTTTTAATAAGACATTTGCTTGAAGGTCTTTACAGAAAGCAGCAGAATTTATTTAAGTATGTAAGAACGTGTACATGTGTGTGTATATATATTTACGTTATTTTAAGAGTTTAGATTGAAGCCAAATTTGCTTCACTTTTACGCTTTCATATGAGATGCAGTCAAGCTTAGGAAGGCTTCTGCTCTTACCTGAAAGGTGATAGTAGTATTCATCTCAGTCATCTTGTTCTTGCAGCTGTGTTTCAGATTTTTAAGATATTATTGCTTCCTTTGAAAAATCATAAACAGAAGTGTCTGAGTGTTCCAATAATACCCCAAACTTACACTGGTGCTTTTTAGTATTTAAAATACGAAAGTTTTTACAGCAACAGCATTTATAGTGTAACTTTACTGTAAAATTACATTTTAAAGCTCTGCTTCAAATAATTTAATAGCATGTGGTTTGTTTATAGACAAGTAGCAGTGCAAGTGCAGGAAGGGCAATATAGGTGATGGTGTATGTCTTGATGAGTAGAAGTTAACTGAATAAAAGTGCTGTTAACTGATGTTTGAAATTCTTTTTAAATGGTAGTGGTAACTCCCTGCTGTGCTGAGATACTTGTGCTTTCAGGGAGGTCTTTGTATGTTGGTCTGTAAAGGTTAGAGAAGTGGCACATTTTTACTGTTGTATTATACATGAGTTTGAGAAAGCGGTCTAATATAGCTTGGCAGATCATGTTCTACAGTTAAAAAAATTACATATATACCCCCTCTGAGATTGTTTCTGTAAAAAAAAAAATCTGATGGCTGTTGTATTATAAAGTGCTACTTTCCAAGCAGGGTGGTGGTTACTGGGTTCAGATTTAAAATACTCTCAGTCCATATTTTTTTTGTAAGATTATCAGTGTGTTGATTCTGTCATGCTCTCTCTTTATGACTGGTTTGGTACATTTGGGTGCTTAGAACTCTAATACAACTAAGTGTGTGTGTGTGTGGGGATAGGTTAGCCAGAACCCATTTTTGACAAAATTATTAATTAGTAAGGCTTCAGATATTTTTCAAATAAAGATATTGGATGTTCCTTGGAGTACAAAAATTAAACTGAGTGAAGAAGTTGTTAAGAAAATATGGCCAATAAACTGTTCTTTGGTTCCCAGACCAATTAAGTGTTTTCCTACTAGATTTCTGTTAAATACTGCTGTCTCAGTTCTTCTCATTTCTGCTGCTGCTTCCTACTTGATCCATTGGAATTCACAGTTGTTAGTGATGTTCAGCTGACTATTTTGGTGATTATGCCTCTGAAGCTTGGAGAAGAAAAATATTTTTAAATGTGCTACCTTGCTGCTTGGCTGTTATGAAGGAGCTCTTTGGCTTGGCATCTTTGACAACAATCTCTGGATGCATGTTTTTTCATTTCTAGGAGCCACGTGGAGTGTTCTGTATTACTTGTCCTGACCATTATTATTATTGCCCTGACCAAATTGTAAAGAAGTATATGTCTAATTTTAAAATTAGTAGCTTATCAAATTCATAGCTGTTGCTTTTTAATATTGAAATGCTTTTATTTATTGTGGAAGGGAAAAATGTATTATGGGATTGTGTCTCAGTGGATTCCTTAGATTTTGTGGGCTTCTAAGTCTAAATATTGAAATCCAAAACTGTAGGGAGGAAGCTTCTTTTAGCGCCTTCACAAATATTTTTAAGGATCTGTTGTTTTCTGTGTCTGTCTGTTGATTTTATTTTCTGATTTCTTCATACCTGAAAGCAATTGCTTCATTAAGAAAATTACAGAAACTTTTTAGATGGTTCATACTCTGTATTGTGAGCTTATGGTCACCGCTGGTTGAAGTGATGCAGCAATATGTAACTCATTTAATAATCTTTGTATCCAGAAAGCTGTAAACGTTGTGCACAAAGATTCAACTTTCCTTAACACTTTCTCTCTTCAGAAACTAGAACAACTCAATCAGTATCCAGATTTCAACAACTACCTGATTTTTGTTCTTACGAAGTTAAAGTCTGAAGGTAAGTTCTTGAAATACTGTTTCATTCTACTTCCCCCCACCTCCCCTTTCTTTAAATAATTTATTTTGTTTACCTTGAAAGAAATAGGAAACTGATGCCTATAGTCAGTTTGCTGGTTGGTTGAGCTCCATAGTCACGTAGAACTCATTTATCCTCTCAGAAGTCTTTGTGGAAAAAAATCTGGTGGCGTAATGGTGCTTGTAGTTTTAACCTTGGAATAGTTTTCATTGTAAATGTCCTATGAAATCTTCCCAGAAATGTTGGAGCATCGTACCTGTATCAGACTGCAGTGAAATTGTGGAATAACTTTGATGAATCATGACTATACACATTATAAAACATTCTGCTGAATTCATTTATGATAATGATCTCCTTATTAATGATACTGTTAAATATTTTGAAGATCACATTCTAGAGTTGTCTGAAGATGATGTCTGTCAGAGTCTTCATTCTAAAGTCTTCATTCTAGTAAAACACAGTTAGAAATCAGCTGGCTACTTACCATTGTCCTGTTGTTATGGATGTTAGTCCAAACTGCATATGGCATACTGTGTAGCTTCTACCAGTTGGTAAATTCAGGCAATTCCTCAGTAATAATCAGGGGGTGTGAAAGATTCTTTCCAGTGTAATACAGCTATGAATTTGTGAGGTCTTTGACAGTAAAAAAATTTTGTTGTCAAGATTTGGGAGGTAGGAAAGAGAGAGGAGGAAGAAACTATGCTTTCATATTTAAAGGCTGGAGTATAACCCAGTGTTTCTGTGTATTCTATAAAGGAAGCCTTCTGATCATCTGTTAAGGCCTTGGGGGAAGTTTGAGAGAGAGCTTTCAAGACCTGAATCAGCCTGAATCAGGATATTAAATTTTTGAGCAAGGTGACAGTGTAGATACACCATATGCTTTATACCATCAACAGAAAAATGAAAAGCAGAGCAAGGCCATAGTGGGATCTGGAGTCTGTACAAAGGATGTGCTGAGAAGGGTGTTCCACTTCCCCCTTCCCCCCCACAAAAAACAAAAAAAAAATTGTTTTTAACTCTGCTTTATATGCTAATTTCCCCTTCTCCATTCTGTTCACTGTTTGAGCTTAAGGTTCTACATGCTGATGTGTTTAGTGATGTGTCAGAATCTCTCTTCCAAACAGATCTCCTTTGATTATCCAGGAGTCTTTACACTTCTTAATGTTTAGACACATCAATCAATTTGAAATTGGATGAGGAGTAGGATATGTTAACTATTACAGAATGGTTCTATAAAGTTTGTTTATCATAGGGGGAAAAAAAATGGATCTGACAGGTTGAAGAGACAAGCAAGTAGGGGACAAGTAGGAAATTCACTTCTAAGACTAGGTGTTTGGCATCCGATTGCACTGATACTTCTCACAGGTATAACAGGTTTCTTGTGAGACTGCTGAGAAGCAGCTGTTGCTTCAGTAATGCTCTTGTTCTGCATCAGTGACAGAGTCATAATCTTCTATCCAAAGCAACCTCATTTTAACTTTTTATCTCTAGTTCAGGAAATTTCCGCAATATTAAGGGTACTATAAGTGAGTTTGGTGTTGGTGCTTTTCAGAGTGTTTGACAAGTTTAAATATCCTTTTACCTTGCTTGGGTAAGACTAATGAGGGATGATGGAAGAAATGTTGGTTGGGTTCGAATCAAATCCAACCAACAGCCCTCTGTTGCCCCTCATTATACGTGCCCAAGCAAGGTAAAGAGACCATTAGAACTGCCATTCAGTAGCTACAATACCCTTTCGGACCAGTAGGGGAAAATGCCATGTGCTCATCAGGTTGATAACTGCCTTCAGTACATCTGGGAAAGTATTCCTTCCTCTCCCCTCCTGAAAAGGGTTCTGTTAGTGGCCTGTCCTACAGCTTTGCCAAGTTTATTTTTTTATTTTATTAAGGGGAAAGAACTAGTGTGCTTTACACCACAAACCAAAGCATAAATACCGTGTGGGAAGTTAAGGCTTTTATTATGGCCATACTGTCCCTGCAGAAGGAGCCATGAAGATAAGCTTCCAACATCAATGTCAGCTTATTCAATAAAATTTAAGTTATTTTCATAGTCCATGATAAAAAGAGCTTGCTTTCATAGCAGATGGGACTAACCTTTCATTCAGATTTTGCTACTGCTGAAACCACTGCTGAGAAAACTGCTTAAGGATATGTTTAGGTGGCAGCTCCTGAATGTGGAAATTCTGTAATGGTTGATTAAAATGGGTGTTAAATAGCCTTATTTTACTGTAGTGAAGGCTGTACCAAATTATCTTTGGCCTTAGTTTTATGTCTCTCTGGGCAAATAACTTTGCAAGCAAAATTTTATTTGCAAGGAAATAACTTTGCTTGCAAAGCTGACTGTTTCACTGAGGCCTGCCTTTGAGATACTTGGGTAAACCTTATGTATAGGAAACATGCTTTGGTTTAGTAGCAGACATACTACTTTTCAGTTGCAAAAAGTGTAAGTTCTTTTTCCCACCAGTGTGGAAAGTGTTAGCTTTGTCAGACTTCTGTGTGTAAATGCTTGTGACTTGCTGGTTCTAGGTCTATTGTGGTACTACTGCATATATGTAGTGGTTTTGTTGTTTTTGTTCTTAACTTCCATGGGCTGTATTAATCTGTCCAAGCTTGTTAAGCTTGGGTCTTCCTGGAAGCAGGTGTTGTCCCGCTACCATTTGGTCAGTGAAAATACATGGCCTGGCTTGCAGCTTTCGTATATGCATACCTTACCTTTAAGCACTTCCTTTCTTTTCTCCTTTTTCTTTTACCTAGTGTGCATTTTTAAAGGTAGCATTGTGAATCTGGACAGTTCCAATGTTACAAATGTCACAGAATACAAAAAATGTTGAGGAAATGGTATGCAGTCCTGGAAGTCAGACAGTAGGCAGGCTGATGGAGCAAAATACAATCCCAAACATTAAAAATTTTGATGTAAGTCTGTAGAATATACTTCCCAGAAGCATGATGTTCAGATCTTCCTTGGGTGAGATGGAGTCCAGATTAACTGAGACATATCTGAATGAAAGAATCTTGGGATTACTAAATTATCTGCAACTGAAAATACTACTTAGATGCTTTGTTAGCATAGGTGCTGTTCTTAGTTTGGCAGGTGTAAAACCTCTCAAGTAATGTGGTGACACTGCCCTGCCTTAGTGTTGTTCCTTTTTGTTGTTCTAGGTTTTTTTGTTTCTTTTTTTGGTTTAGGTTTTTTGTTTTGTTTTTCCCCTGGTGTCCCCTGAGCTGACCTCAGAATCCTGTAGGCTTCTGTATTCTGCTAATGAGTCGTTTTCTGGAGTTTGTGCATGTTGCTGCTTCTCAGATCACTTTTATTTTATGTGTGCCTGACTGATACAGTCCAGTGCTGCAAGGCAGTATCAGTTTTGCCTCTGTTGCTGCTTGCTTACCTGCAGCTTCCCCTCTTTGTTCCAAGATATGCATCTAAATCTTCCTTTCCTTGTTCATGTTTTTACTTCTGTAGTCTAAGTCTGTTCCCTTGAAGGAAAAGGTGAGAAAGTGTTATCCTAATTTCATCCTGCTTGCTGTCTTGCCAAGGCCAGTTCTAGCCTCTAGTTAAGGTAATTGGTGCAGTTGTTCGAGACATCTGAAGCCTGAGGCAGGTCAGGGTAAGGACCTCTAGGTGTCATAATATGGACAATTCATATTGTAAGCAGAAATTCAGAGTTTCTTTCAAGCTTTGTTGATCATAATGATGAAATTCCCAAAGTTGTCTGTATCAAAGCCTTGATTTGTTTATACCTTCTGCAAATGATTGATAAGTTATGCCCCAACCCCCCAGTCTAAAATAGACTGACCGAAAAAAGCATCTTTCTCAAATCACCTGTCTTGTCCTTTTGCAGGACAACTTTGTCAGTTCCCTGGTGTTTTCTTATTGTTTCTAACCTGGAATTACATCAGACTTTACGTCACACAGCATCCTGAATTTTGTGAATGAGAGGTGCATCTGGCTTGCATTGAATTATCAAAAGATGACGTCCACTGCTATTCAGCAAGGACATTCTCTAACCTTCATAAATTCAGTTTGTTGGTTTGGGAGCATTGGGTATGATGACTGTCACAGTTCTGCCATAATATTTTGTTGATGCAAGGTTGTATGAGCATACTGTGTGATGACAGGGCCTACTTGCATCAGCAAAGTCTACTGCATTGCCTTCTGGTAACACCTCGCAGTTCAACTCTAAGGAGAAACTAAATTGAGACTTTGTAATTGCTGCAGACCATTCATGCTATGTTTCTGTATGTATCCATTCTTTGCGATCTTCACATCTCCAAGGGGAAAAAAGGGAAGCTGTCTTTGTATGAGGTCAGACTTAATGGGGCATTCTACTTGGCCTAATATAGCCTTCATGTTGGTGGATGTTTTATATTAAAAAAATTGCAAGAACAGAAGTGATGTCAAAGCTTACGACTTCTTAGGTAGGGTTTGTCATACCTAATGAATCTGTGTGGTGGAAAAAGAACAGAACTACTGACGTGATACCTATTCTAGTTAAGATTCAGACTCTCATCCTTATTCCCAAAATGCACATTTCCGTTCTCAGATCTACCTTTTATCCTTCTTAGACAACAGAGGACATGGTTAGTTTGAGCATGGTTTCTGTGAAGTTTTGCATTTGTCTCCCTCCAGTGGGCTCTTTGTAGGACCTAGGCTAATCGGAAAATACAGAGACAAATGTGTGATGGTCCTGGTAGTGTTCTCCTGGTCCGTATAGCTGTAGTTATCTATCCTGTTGCAGCTATACGAATACAAGATGAACTTTTACTCTCAAGGTGAATGAGCTGGGGTTGAGAACACTGCTTTAATACTGCTTTTGTCATAAGCTGTAAGGGTAGTCTTTTTAAGTTTTTTTCCAAAGTGCTTTGGATTTTTATAAACCAGTTGAAGATAGAGCAATGTCTCTGCAACTCTTGATCTTGTTTATGTGATGACTTTGTCAATTACAAACAGAGAAGTGTTACCAGAAGGCAATCGCATGTACCTTA